GGATTCGAAGCCTCGACCGCAAGATCGATAGTCCGTACCACAAACCATTAGGCTATTGGGCCTTAAATTAAAATGGTAAAAGGAAGAAAGATAATACATAAAAAGGTTTCTTTTCTGATTACAATTTCTTTATTCCAGGTACAGGTCGTTTAGTATCACTATGCGACGACAACAGTTTGCATCTCTGGGAGATAAACGAGAAGTCTTTAGTAGAGTTGAAGTCACATACACTAGAGGGCAAGAACAAGAGGATATCCGCGCTTTGTGTGGAAGCCAGCGGCAAAGGACTGCTGCTGGGTACCGAGGCCGGCAACATATACACACTCGACCTCAACACATTCACATTGCACGAGGATGTCATATACCAGGATGTTGTTATGCAAAAGTAAGTTATTTAATAGCTTGTAAAAATGTAAATTGTATCTTAACGGAAAGACTATAATTTCATTGGTTTGATTTATCTATATTGGCATAATCTTACTCTTAGTAGTATAAATATGAAAGTTTAGATGGATGATTGTTAGAGTTTGTAGCCTAAACAGCTCAACGGATCTCGATTAATTTTAGCATAGATGTAGGATAGTCTGAAGTCTACTCATTTTTTTTTAATTCCACGCATACGGCGGAGTCGCGGGCGAAAGCTTATATTCTCTAAATGATCATGAATGGCCATTGAAAGAAAAAATATTTTCCTTATAGCGCCACTTATTCATTAAACATATTTGAATATATTGCCATATTTTGGTGTAAAAACGCAGGTGTTTTAACAGACTTTTTCAACATATTTGCACGATATTCCAGTTGTCCAGAAGATTTCAAAGTGAATCCGGGCGCAGTGGAGGCGATATGCGAACATCCTAAAGTACCTACACGCATCCTGGTCGGCTTCAACCGCGGCCTGGTGGTGCTGTGGGACCGCACTGCAGCCTCGCCTACACACACCTTCGTCTCCAACCAACAGTTAGAAAGTCTCTGCTGGAATGATGATGGTAACAATACTTTTATAGTTCTCTAAAACTTATTTAGAGATTATTAAAGATGCTAAAATGATATTAAAGAAGTTAAAAATTAAAATTATTTTACTTGAATCATAATATTAAATATTTTATTTCTCCTATAATCTCAATACTACGAATTTTTTTTTTATTTTGAACAACCAAAAGTTAGTCAAATATGCAACAGAATAGATGTTATGAAAATTGTCCTAAAATATGTTTGACATGTGTATTTTTTTCCAGGCGAACATTTCACATCCT